GGAAGCCAGGATAGGAACAAATGGTGATTAACACTGTCCTCCTCTCAACAGAAGGTTGAGGTACTTTTAAACCTTCTCTTGTTGGACATATCCTTTTCATCTTATTCATCAGTTTTAATGTCTTAATAAACCCTTCCTAAAGAAAAAGAACATCATACTATTTCAAATTATAAACTTGTACATACATATACTTCCACAGCCGTCCTCCAAGAAGTATCTTGTGTGGGTTGGTTTTTGGGCTTTTTGGTTCGTGTTGTGATGGTTGCTATTGCTTGGAGAATTTTGTTGCTGCTGTTGTTGTTTTTAACTCACTACAGAGGTCTGAAAATTGTTGAGCTCTCATACAGCTGGTCCAAACATAACTTCAGTGTTGACTCAACTAAATTGCATGTCAACTGGCCAACGCATTTTATAGTTATTCTATGAGGACATCACTAGCCAGACTCCTTAATTTATGTTCTCAGAAGTCACTGTCTCTCCAGCCCCTTTGCATTTTCCCAGCGGCAGGAATAAACTCTTTGTAGGTGATTGAATGTCTTTGGCATACAGAACTGCCTCTGGTTGCACCTGGGTGGTGGGTAATCAGAGGATGGGGTTCACTTTATTATTCTGTTTTTGTGTATGTTTGAAAATGTCCATGATAAAACTTCAGGGTTGTTTTTTTTTTAACTGATTGTTGGCTATAGTTGGTTCTCTAATGCTGGAACAGCCACTCCATATTCCACTGGTCTTTGCAAACTGGAGCTTGTAATTTTCATTAGCAGTCATTGCTAGGGTGGCAGCCATACATGAAAAATGAAGGCATTGAGAAGAACAAGGTAAACACTGCTTCCTAATGCTTCAGAGTGGAGCATGCGCTTGAGAGGTACAGCCAAACATTCAGGTTAAAATGAGAAAATATTTTGAGCAGAAATTGTATGTTAATGGCCTTGCATATATATCCTTTCAAAAGAAAGTTACTTATAAAATAAGCTCTTATCAGTAAGCTGTTCCTTATTTATTAACTACTTTTATTAAACTCCTATATGCAAAGGCCCATGCTAGACAGGGAGACACAATTTGTCTTTGGCAAATTGGACAAAGAAAGAATAAAATAGATAACACCTAATCCCCGAAACTTAACACAGAGTCTTGGACCCGGACCTCAGTGACCAGAAATCAGCATAGTTCAACTCATTTCCAGCCTAACGCCATTAATAGAGCACCTACTCTGGGTAAGGTTCTGGGCTAGATACTAAAACTATGGGCGGGAAAATAAAGTACAGTGCCCATCCTTGGTCTAGTGGGGAAGACAGATAACGAAATCAACTCTTTAATCATGGAATGCACTAGAATAGTGGATACTATGAGATGACAGAGAAGGACTTCAGGGAAGTCTTCAGGAGTTAAATCTTAAAGGATGCTTAAGATTAGCAAGTGATTTAAAGCTGGGAAGAAGCAGAGTTAAAAAGTGTCACAGGTACGGGTCAGGAATTATTTGATAATCATATACACCAGTAGTATAAAATTGTAAAATTATCACTAGAATGTGAGCTCCATGAGGGGCTTTTGTCTTGTTTTGTTCACCGTATGTCTGGCTTATGGTAGGCACTCACTAAGTATTTATTAAATGAATAAATAAATCCAACTATAAAGTGTTGCTAGAGTCCAGAGTTTATGGTAGAGAGTGACAGCGGAGCTAGAAAGGACAAGGTCGAGGAATTCTGGTAAAAAGCTTGGATTTTGGGCTTCCCTGGTGGCGCAGTGGTTGAGAGTCTGCCTGCCGATGCAGGGGACGTGGGTTCGTGCCCCGGGTCCGGGAGGATCCCACATGCCGCGGAGCGGCTGGGCCCGTGAGCCATGGCCGCTGAGCCTGCGTGTCCGGAGCCTGTGGAGCTCCGCAACGGGAGAGGCCACAACAGTGAGAGGCCTGCGTACCGCAAAAAAAAAGCTTGGATTTTATGATGATGGAGAAACACTCAAGAATTTCACAAAGAAAGCATGATGGGATGTGTGTTTTTGAGCTTCAAGGGGGAGAAGAGACCTCAGGGGCACAGACTGGAGAAAGAGAAACCAATTTGTAAGCTGTTACTAAAACCCAGAGGGAAGTTGATGGGGTAAAAATCCATGGAATTCAGAGACAAATTTAATGTCACCTAAAGCCACCCAAATGCCTAGCATGAAAAAGACTGGCAATACCAAGTGTTGTCAAGCATGTGGAACAACCAGAACCCTCATCCCCTGCTGGTGGAGTGTACATTGATGCAATCACTTCGAAAAACTGTTGGGTATCTCCTACTAAAGCTGAACTCAGTAATCCCCCTTTCAGGTAGACAACAGAACCCAACAAGAATGGGTGCTCATTTGCCCCCAGAGATGTCCCCACAAAGTTGTGGAAAAGGATGTTCCTAGCAGCACTCTTGGTCATAGCCAAAATGGATAAATTGTGTTATAGTCGTGCAACAGAATACTAAAAAATGACACTGAAAAATGAATGTATGGCCATTACACAGGTAAATCTCAGAAACATCACGTTGAGTGAAAGAAGCCAGACACGGAAGAATACGCACAACATACTGTAGAATTCCATTTATAAAAGTTCAAAAACAGACTAAGCTCAGTTATGGTGAAAAATCCAGAACAGCGTTTGGCTTTGGGCACAGGGTGATGACTGGGAGCGAGGGACTAAAGCTCTATCTGCATCTTGATCTGGACGTGGTTACGCAAGTGGGCTGTCTTTTGTAATAACTCCCCAAACTGTATGCTGACATGTGTGCAATGTTCTGAATGTATATGAATGTTTTAAGTGACCTCAGTTTCCTGGCTCAGGTACAAGGGTGGGTGATGGTGCCCTGTACTAGGCTCAATGTATCTAAAAGGAAGAGGAGTCACATTCAACAGTAGCCAAGGCTCTTAGTGCACTTGTGGCTTCTGGCTGCCCAAGTCACAGCACAGGCATGCCACAACCCCGTGGTCATGGAAATCACCCCTCCCTGGAAATCTCCCTTCAGGCCTGTGCCTTCCTATTTCTAATACACTTATAGATTGTGCCACCCCTCTGTGCAGGGCAGTGTCCTCCAAGGAGAGATGCCCATCTTTAGGGGCCCCCAAACTCTCTTTGGCTCCACAATGCTTTTTGGCAGTGGGGGAGATCCTAAGATAAGGAGTCATAATCAGATCCACTAGAGTTATTGCCATAAGAATGACAAAAATATCATCTTCTAGACCACTGGGGGTGTGGAGGACTGTCTAGAATTACATGGCGGTGGTCGTGGGGAAAGACACACCTTGGGAACTTCTCATCCCTTCTTTGCCAGTGCCTTTCTTCTGCTCACCTAGTACGTGTGCCCTTCACTGGAGTCAAGCCACTCCTGAAGCAGAGGAGTAGAGGATAGAGACTCAGGAGGAATCTTGGACAGAGGGCACAAGGAAGGATAAACGGGAGCCACTGCAAACATAGCACCTTTCCAGCTCCCATGGAGAAAGACAGACTGAGACTGGGGTGAACCCCAAGCCTCTCCCACCCTGCATTCCACCCCAGCATTGGTTAGAGACAAGGGACAAAGTTCCTTTCCAACCAGACTGAGCTGTCTAGAAAGTCCTAATACCCCCAAGCGAAAAAAGTATGCCCAAGCTCCCAACCTCCAGCCTCATGGAGGATGCCAAGCCTTCCTTTGCCTCACCTTGGTCAGGAGTTTCCTGGCAATGGGTTCAGTACTTTGGTCAGTTGGCTAAGCTTAGCATCCTTTTCCTGTGCCCAGCCAAGTCTGGTCATTCAGGTGGCCAAGCCCTGCCTATGTTATTGCCAGGACTTCTTGTCTTGGTACCTGCTCTAGCCTGAGAGGAGTATGAAACTCCCTTCATGCCCTAGAGGCACCAGCCAGCTGCCACTGACTCTTAAGAAAGAGCCTTTTGCAGATCCTTTCTGACACCCTCCTCCGCTGGTGGCCAAGGCCAAGAGAACTATTTATAGAGGAGATGGCTACAAACCAGACAACCCAGATAAATCATGAAATTCTGCACCCACACTTAGGTAACCCTATTCTCAAGAATGAAAAGAACAATTTGCTGTTACAGAAGTGGATCCCTGAGCGAGCCGGTAAGTGAAACGGGATCAAGACAGACGCACAAGAGTGGGGTTTACTTTCAAGGAATAGAACGAACCATGATGCCCACAGGCACCATGCAGCTATAAGGGGAAGCAGAATCATTAGATGTGGGCATAGTTTCTTCTCTGCTGCACACTGAGCACTGAAGTTAGTTCTAGACTTTTCTAACCCCTGCCCCCAATGTCCTAACACCATTTCTGGCTGCTGAAACCTCCCTCACTGGAAACTCAAGTCTTCACCCAATCTCAGCCTCATTTTACCCACACTCTTCCTTCTCTCCACCCACCTCATACAACTGGTACTAAACTGATCATGAATAGTTAACGGTCTCTAACTTCCATATTTCATCAAACATAAGATGCGCATTGACAGAGGCACCCTTATTTTATCTCCTACTGAAAAGTGTTCCAAATAAAATATACCATCCTCTGTGAAATGCATCCTGATTCAGAGATGTGAGAATTTGAAAAGAAAATGTGCTTCTGTGAATCAATTAATTAAACTACTGTTACCTGGGCTAAAGTCAGGGCATGGGAAATCACAAGCCATTTGATTTCGGGGGATCATGTGTATGAATTAACAAGCCCTCCAGATCAGTGTATAAACGCTCTGAGAAGTTTCAGTGATTGGGTTTCCTCATTTCCAACAACGTGATATGTTTTAGATCTTAGTTTAGAGGAACATCGTGGACAGTTATATAAATCTGGCAAAATATTAGCATAAACAATTTTGAAAAGGTGCCAAATAATTAAAGCATCAGAGATTTAATGTGTTTAACGTATGTTTAAAGTATCTTGCAGATGACGGAAACGAGTAGAGAATAAGTTTATAAACGGGAACAAAATTCCTTAAAGCTTCATCTTTGCCGTATTTGAACCAATAAATATTTCACCTTTGTGTATCTGTGAACAGATTTTTGAACTTTGTGGAACTGATGCTAAAAAACTGGAAGAAAAGATTCGAGAACTAATGTAAGCTGATCTCCAAGACAAAACATACTTGCAACGTTTTAAAAGGCCACCGTGAATGTGTTTGTGTTTTTATTTCCAGCAAACATTGTAGTGTTCTATTGATCTCTCTCCTAATGCTTTACAGGTTGAATTCCATATTGCAATCTCACTGCAAAAATTGTTGGAACTCTTATGCTATCAGAGATTGTGTCATTTGCATTCTCTCACTTGGCCTTTCCACTTACTCTGAGCACATTCCTTAGGCAGCGTCCCTCACAGCAGAGGCCCTGCACAGCTAAGTAATACCAGCTCAGTGAGAAAGTTTTCCAGAGATTGTGGAAGATGGGATCCACCTCAGCAATCAAGAAACAAATAAATGTCTTATTGGCCTGGTGCACTCCAAATACAAAGAGGCCTCTTCCCAACTGAGTCATTGTAGTACAAAATTCTCCAGTATATCACCTTATATTAGAAATGTGTCATTGGATAAAAGCACATATAAACAGCTATGCTTACATATATAAAAACTTATTACATGCTAGGCAATATGCCAAGCCTGTAGCCGAAATTCAGCCTCTGTACACTGATACTGAATGGAATCTTGGAGACAGTTTTGGATGAAGTAGAAAAGAATTGCTTTACTGCTTTGCTGGGCAAAGGGGGCCACAGTGGGCTAATGCCCTCAAAACTGTGTGTCCTGACCTGGAGGGGGTAGTGAGGAGTTTTATAGTAAATGGTTCAAAGAGGAGGGCGCGATCAACTCGTGGACATTCTTCTGACTGGTTGGTGGTGAGGTGACTGGGAACCAGTATCATCAACTTTCTGATTCCAGCTGCTCTGGGGTCTGCATGCTTGTGGGCATGCAGTAAACTTCTTCCACCTGGTGGCGGTTTCAGTACAGTAAGTCCCTGACATACGAACCTTCAAGTTGTGAACTTTCAAAGACGCAAACGTGAGTTCGCATGTGCAATCACGTAAGTTAGTTCACGTGTCTGGCGTACGTCGTCACGTGCGTGCATCCTCTACAAGTGGTTGTGCTTTTGCGTACTTTACAGAACTGTATAGAGTACAGGAGTACGGTATCTTTATTTCAAGCCCAGGATGTCCAGAAGCAAGTGTAAAAGCAGTGGTGATGTAGCTGGTACTACTTTAATTTTCAAGGTATTGTACTGTAAGATTAAACGTTTTCTTTATTTTTGTGTTTGTTATGTATTATTTGTGTGAAAAGTATTATAAACCTATTACAGTACAGTATTCTAAAGCCAGTTGTGTTAGTTGGGTACCAAGGCTAACTTGGTTGGACTTACGAACAAAAGTGGACCTAGGAACACACTTTCGGAATGGAACTCATTCGTATGTAAGGGACTTATTGTATCTGCAAAACAGCTCATAGATATTGTTATGTATATCCCTTGAGCGGGAACCGGGACCTCGTCCCAAGGCCACACTATTGTTTTGTTTGTTTGTTTGTTTTTGTTTTTTGCGGTACGCGGGCCTCTCACTGTGTGGCCTCTCCCGTTGCGGAGCACAGACGCGCAGGCTCAGCGGCCATGGCTCACGGGCCCAACCGCTCCGCAGCATGTGGGATCTGCACGGACGGGGGCATGAACCCGCGTCCCCTGCATCGGCAGGCGGGCTCTCAACCACTGCACCACCAGGGAAGCCTCGCACTATTGTTTCTTGACTCCTCCTCCCTTGTCTCCGCATCCCCTCCCTTCCCTGATTAGCAATTATCTGAACCTGCCCCTTGGAACTCAGGGAAGGTCATGGAGGCTGAATGAAGTGTATTTCCTACAAACAAGAAACGGGACACAGAAAGGCTTTTGTGCCCAGGAGGCTCACAGGATCCTGCTCAGTTTCAAGCCTTTTGCATCCATCACCCGGTTTAACCTTTGCAACAATCCTGTAAGTAGCCATGTACTAATAAATGTTTAATTGGCTCTGGGAAGAAAAAAGTTCCAGTTTGTAGTGATTGCCAATTTCGTTGGTGTAAATACTTGGTAGATTTCAAGCTACCAAATGATGTCACTAAACATGGAGCTGGGAAAAGATGGGCCTAATAGGCTCCTGTGAGCTGCCTAAGATTTAGATCCAGGACACCAGTACCTACAAATGAGGTACTACTTTTATCCCTCTCTTCTTACAGAGAATAGAAGACACAATCTAGTTAAATTGAAACCATGCAACTCAGATTGGGAATTGAACCCACGGGCCAGGACTCAAACCCAGCCAAAACCCAGATTAGGACTTAAACCCATGTTCTTTTAACTGAGACCACACACCTAGCCTCAGAACTTAATGAATTTCAGGTTCTTGATGTCTCATTGGAGAAATAATTCAGTGAGAGACAAAGTGATAGGTAAGAAGTGGATTTATTTAGAGAGAAACACACTCCCCAGACAGAGTGTGGGCCATCTCAGAAGGCAAGAGGCCTTGGGAGAAACACCCTCCACAGACAGAGTGTAGGCCATCTCAGAAGGCCAGAGTGGCACCAGGGTATGGGGTTGTCAGTTTTTATAGGGGTGGATAATTTCATAGGCTAATGAGTGGGAGGAGTATTCCAACTATTTTGGAGAAGGGATTGGGATTTTCAGGAATTGGGTACCGCCCACTTTTTGACCCTTATGGTTGGCCTTGGAACTGTCATGGCGCCTGTGGGTATGTCATTTAGCTTGCTGATGTGTTACAATATGCATATACTGAGGCTCAAGGTCTAGTGGAAATCGACTCGTCTGCCATCTTGGACCCATTTGGTTCTAATCAGTTTATGTCATGTCCTCGGGCTATGTCATTCTTTTAAAGGTTGTGCCCTGCCCCCTTCCATCCTGTTTCAAAATGACTTGCCCAAATTTTCCCAGAAGAATCCAGTGCTTTGAAATTTCCTTTATCTCTTCTAGGGGTTTTATAGGAATTTCTTCTCCCTTCAGGAGCACTGCCCTGGCATGTGGTGAAATGTCTCATTTACATATATCTCAGTAACACAATGTAATACAACTTCCTTTCCTGGGTCCTGTAAAGCACTGGGTTGCTGCATTCCAAGAAAACAGGGATTTGCAGTCTTGCCTCCAACAATGACTAGTCCCTTTACCGGGTCCCAAATGTATATCCTCCTGCTGTGTGTTCAGGCCTTTCTGCATCCACAGTAACTTTTCATTTCAATACTGACAGTGTATTCTTTTAAAAGACATTTTAAACTCAACCTATAGGGCATCAACAAGGCTCCTAAATTGACTCAGGTGACCACATATGAATAGCTTTGGCCGAGTCTGTGCACACACAGACAGTGACAACCAAGTCAAACCTGCCACCTGGTCCACTGTGATTGTGAGATGCCACTCCTTGTCAGGGGCATCTCAATTTCAAAGATGTTAAAATGTGAAATAATGTGCACCTGGAGTATTCAAGCTCCTTGATCTCACAATTAAATGTTAGCTCAAGAGCAGAAGGTTGGGGGCTTCCCTGGTGGCGCAGTGGCTGAGAGTCCGCCTGCCGATGCAGGAGGCGCGGGTTCGTGCCCGGGTCCAGGAGGATCCCACATGCCGTGGAGCGGCTGGGCCCGTGAGCCATGGCCGCTGAGCCTGCGCGTCCGGAGCCTCTGCTCCGCAGCGGGAGAGGCCACAACGGTGAGAGGCCCGCGTACCGGAAAAAAAAAAAAAAAAACTAGCAAAAGGTTAAAAGGAAACTGTCATAAAAAGGCTGTTGTACTTCTTCTGAATGATGAATTGATCTCAGTCCCTTGAAATGCAAGTATCAGTTAATCAATGTTTGCCTCACTAAGGAAAGGACAAACAGAGGAGGACTCCCGCAGGGAGCAGCGAGGGGTACAGCTCTCTTGACCTTTCTTTAACCCTGAGTTGCTTATCTTGACCCTTACGATGTTTAAGCTGAAACACTCTCTTAGGATGGGAGCATGTTCTCTTTCTCATCTCTGATTTGCTGGTATTCAGCCCAATGCCCAGACCAGAGGAGATCCAGAAGACACGAAACTAAATTCAATATGGAACCCTGAATGGGAACCTAGAGCAGAAAGGGGCATAAGTGGAAAAAAATGGTGAAGTGCAAGTAAAATCTGGTGTTTAGTCCTCAGTAACATACCAGTGTTGGTTTCTTAGTTTTGACATATACTATGATAGTTTATTAACATCAGGGGACTGAGTGCGAGGTATATGGGAACTCTCTTTACTCTCTCTGCAGCTTTTCTGTAAATCCAAAATTATTCCAAAATATAAAATTTATTTTTTAAGATGCCTCCCCAACGTGGCTATAGGGGAGAAGCACTAGTGTTTTGTGAGCGCGTGTTATACCTACTTGACCATGATGTGACCTGGGAGTGCTTTCCCATGAAATGACTGTTGACCTGATGTCTTAAAAATGAGGAAGTGTTTTATGAAAATCACAGGTCACAAGGTTAAAAAGCCTGGGACTTGGAGATTAGAAGATCGTTTTGATTCCAAGAAAGTTTTTTTTTTCTTTTTTACTAAAAAATCTTAATTATTTTTAGTGATGCCTTAGGCAGAGTCGGGCGCCCCCAAAGGTATAGAACCAGATATAGCTTTTTTAAAAATTTACTTTATTGAAGTATAGCTCATTTACAATGTGTAATTTCTGCTGTACAAGCAAAGTGATTCCGTTATACGTATATATACATTCTTTTTCATGTTCTTTTCCATTGTGGTTTGTCCCAGGATATCGAATCTAGTTCCCCGTGCAATACAGTAGGGAGATACAGTATACAGTTGCAGCTTTTTGACATAAGAGAAGCCCTTTTAGGCCTAAACCATTTTGTGATCTAAGCCTGGCCATAATGCTTGCCCTTGACCAGGTCTCAGTAATTAATGATCTTAAGGGAACAAAGGAATGAAAAGTAGTCAAGAAACAATAGTTCAGAGATAAAATAGAGCCCTAGTTCCTCCTCAAGGGATATACATCACAGTCTGATACAGATCTTTGAGTTCTGCAGGAATTAAGACCCCTACCAGGTGGAGGATGTAACTATGCTGAGACCCCAGATTGGTTGGGGCCTAAGGAAAGAGGATGGTGACCTCTGCTGACCCTCCTGACTTCAC